ACAGATAGCCAATTATGTAGCTTTGTGCTTAATTATAAACAGCCCCCCCCCCCAGTGGTACAGCGGTATGTCTGCGGACTTACAACGCTAGAAACCGGGTTTCGATACCCGTGCTGGGCAGAGCACAGATAGCCCATTATGTAGCTTTGTGCTTAATTATAAACAGCCCCCCAGTGGTACAGCGGTATGTCTGCGGACTTACAACGCTAGAAACCGGGTTTCGATACCCGTGATGGGCAGAGCACAGATAGCCCATTATGTAGCTTTGTGCATAACTTCAAACAAACAAACCGAGTTGATGTATTTACATATAATTTCGATCAATGGATATTTAAAAGAAAGCTGAAGACGCAATAGTGTCGTCGTCATCCCTCTTTAACAGTGTTTGTTTATTATTGATATTAAATTAGAAACGGAAACAAACCATAAATAGTTTCAGGTTTTTAAATAAATTCCTTACGTTTTACTGGGAGTTGTTCAATTAAACGTGAACCAATACATATGTGTGTGATTAAAAAAAGAAAAACTTGTAAAATGAATAACTATTAAAAATAAAACCATAAATTAATTTACTGCAACGTTTGAACAAACTTTTTCGAAACAAAAGTTACTTTCATGTCGGCTGGTCAACCAAACGAAATTTAGCGTATACACGCACTGTGTACAAGGTTACACAAATAGGACTAGAAGTACTTTTACCCCTCTTCAACCTCCCTCAAGGGTTTGGATGACTCACAGCTGTACTGAATATCTTAGGGATCGTTCTCTTAAAATAAAATTTAAGTAGGTATATATCTATCACGCCACCTCGACGGTTATTATTCTCAAGCCTTTTTGTAAATGTTATCAAATAGCAAAAATAAATAGACAATGAAAAAATTAGAATTATTATATTACACTTGTTTCATCTTCTGGTTCTGACCTTATTTGAATATTGTAAGAACTGATGTGTCTATTTTTCTATAATATTCATTGTTAAATGGCTAAAAAGGAACACTTAATATGACAGAACCGTGTGATATCATCAGATAATAAAAATAAACTGATTTTGGTGAGGTCACAGAATGAAATATTGAATGAATCACCGAATGAATGCGGTAAAGTCATATGTTGATACATGGTCGCTTGAACGTAGACGTTAGGCTTAGATAACGTGTTCCATAACATACAAACGATGCAACAATTTCGTCATTCTTTCTCGGGAAATCATCAACTCCGTTCTTATAAAGTGTTGCCAGCAACTACTGGCAACGGCAACCTGTTACATAAGTTAGCATATTGTTAGAAAATTATTTTAACTGGAACCTAACCTGTTCTTTTTTTTTTAAATCTTAAATATTTGTCCAACTTACCAACTGATTTGTGGTACATTAACATCCTAAAACCGCTAGAAATACGCACCAGTTTAATCAAATCAATAAACGTTCCTAATCTACCAATGCTGCCCCTTTTCAATATCGTTATTGTAAATAAGAAAAAGCAAAAAAAAGGTCCAAAACTGACCGCTGATTCATTTTAACAGTAACAAGGGTTCAGTTTGTCTAAATTATTAACAACCTTTTGTTTTCTTTCATACAGTAACCCTACAATGTAAAATCAAATTAATTAGTTCCCCCCTTCCCAACTCCTGTCTGTGGATTTTTTTTTGGCTAACGATCTGTGTGGTACCTTATTTTGTAAAAACTTTGTGGCACCTACATGCAACCAAATCAACACCCTTTTTTATCATGTTACCCTTTGTTATCCTTTTAATTCTTAGTTGTCGTTGTTCCAGGTAGAAATATGTGATTTGATCAGATAACAAAGTTATTGGTGAATTTTTTTCCCACAAAATCCGCCGCTCTAAAAGGATATTCACACAGAAACTTCCCGAGGTTTGTGCCTTCATTTCTCATATTCAGCCTCCTCGATGTTCACAAGCTTCTTTGAAAGTGTGTTATAACGTAGGTTAACAACTGAAAGTGTGTTATAGCGTAGGTTAACAACTGAAAGTGTGTTATAACGTAGGTTAACAACTGAAAGTGTGTTATAGCGTAGGTTAACAACTGAAAGTGTGTTATAACGTAGGTTAACAACTGAAAGTGTGTTATAGCGTAGGTTAACAACTGAAAGTGTGTTATAACGTAG